GATTTTGGACGCTAGAGCTGGAGAAAAGAAGAGTACAGCACGGATACACAGGAGTTTTTGACCTCAGCTTTTAGCTTAGCTGTTTTCTCCTTCTCTCTGTATTTACTTTCCGAGACCTTATGGGTCTTTTATTTGTTATTAATTCTGATTTTGTTGAACTAAACATGAGCTAAATTCCTTAGCTAGGATTATTGATGGAACCAAAGTTGCAATGAAGATCTATTTGCTATTTTGATTGATAATGTAATTTTCATCTGGTTTATTCAAGCATATTTATTGTTTACTTTCTATTAAGTGACAGGCCATCATTTAGTAAGAAAACACAAACTTAAGCTAATTCTGGAAAGGTTGGTTGAGTTAGATCTAGCTTGGATAATGTAAGAGATAGTATAGGAATATACTATTATCTTGCACAACCCATTAAAATTGATGTTAACGTCAGGTTTGTAAACTAAAACACATAGGAATATGTTGGTTTGGTTTAAGGAATTACAAGCATAAATCTGTCGAAAGATGATTATGTAGAATTTTAGGTTGACTAGATGAACTTTGCTACAGCAATCGTATAGCAATTCGTGGTCAGAGTTGCAACCGAGGGGAAATCAGTAATCCTAGCCTTCATCCATCATTAAAATCACAGCTCTAAGCTCAGATCTTGTTGACTTTTACCTCTTGTCTGCATTTAAATTACAGCCTTTGGCCTTATACATTCTTTTCACTTAATTAATATCAATTTGGCATTCAAACTATTCTCAATCATATTGATAAAACTGGTTTTTGTAATAGAATTCCTCATTAACTCAGTCCCTGTGGAGATGATACTTTACTCATTACTATATTACTTGTTCGATTGCGTGCGCTTGCGTGGAGTCATTTTATGCATAGAGTTTTTGGCGAACACTTGGCATATCACATCTCTCCCTCCTGGCAAATATCCTGTCGGTTGTAAATGGGTGTACAAAACCAAATTTTGAGCTTATGGGACTGTGGAAAGATATAAAGCATGCCTTGTTGCTAAGGGATACACACAGAAAGAAGGTATTGATTTCCTCGACACTTTCTCTCCCTTTGCTAAGCTAGTTATAGTCAAGTTATTACTTTCCTTGGTGGTTGTTTATGGCTGGTCACTTATCCAACTTGATGTCAATAATGCCTTCTTGCACGGTGAGCTACATAAGGAGGTTTATATGTCTCTCCCTCCTGGTTACTCTTGTCGTGAGGGGGAGACTTTGCCCGAGAGGGCTGTTTGCAGGTTGATAAAGTCGTTATATGGGCTGAGGCAAGCTTCACGACAATGGTTTGCTATGTTTTCAGGGGTTCTTTTTTATGAAGGTTTTGAACAATCAGCCAGTGATCATTCACTCTTTGTCAAGCATCGAGCCAACAGTTTTCTGGCTCTCTTAGTGTATGTTGATGATATTATTTTTGCAAGTAATGATCAAACTGCTGTGAATGGTTTGAAGACTCTTCTTGATAAGCGTTTTAAGTTGAAGGACTTGGGGTGTTTGAAATATTTCTTGGGGCTTGAGGTTGTTCACTCTCACTTAGGCATTTCGGTTTGTCAACGCCATTATACTTTGGAACTACTTTCCGACACGGGAAATTTAGCTTGTAAACCAGTTTCCACTCCAATGGAACCAGATCTCAAGCTTTCTCAATCCGACGGAGATTTGCTTGAGGATCCAACAGTTTACCGAAGGCTTATTGGCAAGCTCCTCTATCTCACTATTACCCGTCCAAATATATGTTACTCGGTTAACCGACTGAGTCAGTTCATAACTGCACCTCGGGTTCCTCATTTGCATGCTGCCCATCGGATATTGCAATACCTAAAAGGTACCCCTGGCCAAGGCATGTTCTTTGCTGCAAATTCCCCTATACATCTCAAAGCCTTCGCTGATTCAGATTGGGCTGTATGCCCGGATTCTAGACGATCCATCAGTGGTTTTTGTGTGTTTTTGGGTACCTCTCTAGTCTCTTAAAAATCCAAGAAACAACAAACTGTGTCACGTTCATCAGCAGAAGCTGAGTATCGATCCATGGCCAACACCACTTGTGAGTTGCTTTGGTTGTTTTCCTTGCTGAAAGATCTGAAGGTCAAACATAATGGACCAGTTCTATTGTTTTGCGACAATCAGGCAGCTCTCCACATTGCTGCCAATCTCGTGTTTCACGAACGAACAAAACACATAGAGATTGACTACCATGTTGTGCGCGAGAAAATACAAGCTGGTTTTTTGAAGACAATGCATGTCTCCACTCGAAACCAAATAGCTGACACCTTCACGAAAGCAATTCATCCAACTCAATTCCATTTTCTGCCATCCAAGATGGGAATTCACAATTTGTTCTCTCCATCTTGAGGAGGAGTATTAAAATAGCAAATTAGAGTTGTTACCTCGAGGGTAGAGTCTGTTACCTCGAGGGGATTGATTCTTTTGCTATTTTTTTATTTAACTATTTCTGTTATTTCTTTCTCTCTCCTTTCTGTTTTGCTGAGCTGTACGTTTTCACTCACAGGCTATATAATGCCTGGTTGTAATCAAGCAATAGCGTTTTCTTGTGTTTTCAGTTAGTCCTTGAAACTATACCGTTGGTTCTTTAACTTGTAATTTTTGCAGATTGCTTATCGAACTTTTATTTATTATTTTGTCAATTTTGGTTCCTAACACCAAAACTGACAAATGGTTTTCCAAATTTAACTAAATTGAATCAAAATTAGGATATTAAAATTCTAACAAGTGCAAAAATTAAGATCCTGCAAAAGACGATTGATAGTTAAATTGCCCCGCTACTGCAGGATTGTGGCGGCATTACTTACTGGAGTGCCTTTCACAACTGTGGATACATGAGCAGTTTCCGATCCTTTGGTATCGGACACTGGCGCGAGCCTTGAGATTCCAAAATCGGAAACTTTTGCAGTAAATTTGGAGTCCAACAATATGTTGTTTGCCTTTATATCACGGTGAATTATTGGTGGATCAGCTTCAGTATGAAGATACAGAATGCCCTTCGCTGAGTCTAATGCAATCCTCATTCTCATCTCAAAACTAAGAGAACTTCTGAACCTAGCTATTGTCACAATAAAAAACAACATTGAATATGGAATAAGATACATTTAGTCAATGATTCTACAGGGGTGAAAAAACTGCGGTTAATTTTTTTTTTTTTTCCTCGTTTAGTTTAGTGTTTTAAAAGCGAAAAATTTTAAGAAAAAATATAATTGTGGCTTCAGTGTATAATCAACTATCTTAACTTTTCATGAACACACTAATTTAGAAGTTAAAAAATAAAAAGGCGAAAAATAGAGAAAGAAAGAAATTAGAAAAGGAAAAAAAAAAAAAAGACAAAATAAAACCTTCAATACAGTTGTTAACTTGCAATTGTAAACCAAAAAACTATGATGAAAATGGTTTATAGCTAGATCAAAAGATGGTAAAGTTATGACCGAAGGAAAAAACGTTTTACCAGAGAGGAGATTGTGAAGAGAACCATTAGCCATAAATTCATACACTAACATCTGAAAGAGCACAGAAAGGAACCCCACATTATCATCAGACAGTTTAAAATCAAATAAAAGCTATAACAACTAGAAAGAAGAATGTAGATAGGAGAGAGTCAGTAATCACATAAAATTTCGGAAAAAAATACTTGTTGGAATAGGCTTTCTCAAGCTATATCTATTAATCGACATTTTTATTAAGTGAAAATATACTAATAGCACGAGACCGTCGCATTTTATCAGTCCAAGTCATTGTACCTGCTCCCGTTCTTTGTCACAATAGCCAACTAATGAAACCAAGTTGCGATGATGTACTCGCGATAACAATTCTATCTCAGTGAAAAACTCTCTCTCGCCCTGCAAGGATCCTTGTTGCGCTCGCTTGACCGCCACAACCGTGCCATCGGTTAGAATGCCTTTGTAAACTTTTCCATAGCCTCCTTTCCCAACTTCACAAGTGATATTAAAGCTGCTTGTTGCTCTTTCAAGTTCACCAAAACTGAATCCTTTTACACCTTCAACTTTACAAGAAATTTTCCCACCTGTAGATGAAACTACGTTAAGCTTCTGCATGATGTTCTATGAGTACAACTATGAATGATCTTACCAGTTTGTTTCTTCTTCACAAATATTTCTTGGAATTTGGGGTATGTTTTGGAAAGAACAAATGCGACCGCCAAAAATATTGTAATGCCACAAAAGATCGCTCCTAAAACAATTCCAATCAGAAGCCCTTTGCTCATACCTGATCCCGAATGTACGAAAACAACTGCAACAAGAACAAAAATTTTAACACCCTTTTAAATAAGCATCACAAAAATATCACACATTTCCTTGCAGCACGGAAACCGGCATCAATTTTATTTTTACGTGTAATATGTGAAACATGACTTTAACCTATTGCAGCTGTTTTTTTTTTTTAAATATTAAGCAGTGGATAACAGGGGTATAATAAATGATTGCATACATGCTTAGTGTACTTCCATATTTTATTGCCAATTTGTCATTGTGTTTATGTGGTTAAGAGATTTGACATCTCATATAGCAAAATATGAAACAATAAATCCGTAGTTAGCTATCAAAAGAGGGAAGTTCTAGAAACATACCGTTTTCATAAGGCCCGCGGAGAGTAAAATTTAGGAGATCATATGGACCAAAGGTATCGGTTGGAGGGAATAAAAATGTGGCAAACCTGTTCATGATACGCTCGAGCTCAGTTCCATTAAATGTACCAGAATCATTGCTATATTGGGGGAAAAGTTTTATATAGAGTTGGAGCCTCGGACCCTCTTGCCATATAAACGAGTCAATGACAAGTTGATAAAGATCCAAGGCAAGACTGGTGGTCAAGAGTGACCGCAATTCTCCAATAAACGGACGAAAATCTGAAAAGCTAGGACTTCTCAGTCTCATCCCAACTCCAAGAGGTGCAGCACAATAGCAAGGAATGGGAGATTCTGGAACATATTCAAAGGATTCGGAGGATGGACAGGATTGAGGTTTGCAACCATTAGGGGAATAACTACTTGAGTTTCCAGGAGACTCCTCGAGATCTCCGTCGCTTGGTCCACAAAACCGGACTATATCTAGTTCGGTTTCTCTTGTACAAATAGGATTACCTTGAAGCCTAAATATTATACACAAAAATTTGATAAACTAGTTAGTATTTACAGCTGTGAAGTAACAAAAGAAACTCATCTCAAATTCATAATTATATCGATTTGTGGACTCATATATTAAAATTGTCAACTTACTTGATAGTGACATTTGGAGGAGGATATAGACTGCCTGATATATTTGAAAGTAAGTTATTTTGAAGATTCCTGCAACGTAAGGATGATGTGCAATATTATGTTCAAAGGTTTGTTTATACTTGGGACAATATTAATGCTTAAAAGCTAAAAGCCTATGCATGTTAGATACAAAAACAACAATCTCTTAAGATTTTTGAAATGTAAAATGCCACTGAAAAAGAAGATTCAGAGCTCTATCTTACAAGGTAAGTTTGGTATCTGGACCAAAGATGATATTCTGCCAGAAAGTAGAGGGAATAGTACCACTTAACGAATTGTTCTCAAGTGACCTGCAAAGTAAGTAAAGATTATGTCATGCGAGGGATGCAAGTAGCGTTATATTATCATGCCCCGTATCTACCGATATTTAGTTTGAAACCGCAAGATTTTGTCTAAAATAGAACATCATAGCATTATTAGACAAATTATGGTGACCAAAAGAAATTTAAAGAGAAAAGAGAGACACGTTCTTACAATCTCTGGAGACGAGGAAGGCCCGAAAAATTTAAAGGGATTGATCCATTAAGCGCATTCTTCGATAAGTCACTAAAAATATACCAAAGTTAAGAATTAGTATATCATTTTAAAGTGCTCGAGATTTTTCAATACATTTTAGCAATAGAAGCTTTTGCATGATCTTATGCTTACAAATTATGCTTGTTGAGATACAAATATAAGAAACTTATGAACTATCCTTGTAGCCATAACTTACATAGTAGTCATATTCTCGGAGAACCTGTTTGTTGGTAGACTTCCACTAAGGTGATTTGAACTAAGATCTCTGTATCATGAAAAATAACAAGAGGCCAATATGAGATTGGGATTACCAGACAGAACTTGAAAATCAATAAAAGGCAAGTAATTAGATGATAGACTATATGAAAATAAAATAAAATTCAAGGAGTGCAATAAAATACAGGAAAAAACTCTCGTAGGGTAACTTCGAATTCTCATATCATGACTAAATTAACAAAATTATCCAGGACTTACAAGTAACGGAGACCTGGTATTCGACTGAAATCGGGAATGCTGCCTTGCAAGTTGCAGTTCCTTAGAGCCCTGCAGAGTTGCAGTTACTTAGATTACAGTTCAAGAGGACCAACAAAAAGGTGATACCAATGAAAATCCGGGAGAGATATTACAGTTTCAACAATTTGGGCATATTTGTATATGAATCAGGAATTTGAGTCCCACTGAAGTTGTTGTTGTTCACTTGGCTGCAACAGTTGGTTAACATGTTAAACTTCTATGTTGGGATTTATTTTCTTACCTTAATAACAGCCTAAAAATCAAAAGTTGATTTATCAGATGGATTGAATAACTAAAGCATAACATAAACTCTTTCCGCTAGCACAAGAAAGACATCTCGTAGATTACCAGCACTAATGCTGATTCAGTTACCTTCACAGTTGGTATAGCCATTGGCTGCAACTAATTCGGCATGTTGAACTATAAACAAATGAAACAGAACAACTTTTGCTATTTTCTTTCCGTTCATTATTTTATTGTGTCCACATACATCTCGGTTTCTCAAGTATGTCAATATCTATACGGACTTGTTTGGCGGAACTTTTTGCATTTGCTTTTTCTATTTCTTAGTAGAAGAAGAGAAGTAAACATTGTGGATTCTAGATATACGTTCGAAACCATAATTTAAAAGAGCTTAAATAGATCAAAATGATTTTTAAAACGTTTCACAAAGTAATAAAAATGTTCATAATATCTTATTGAAACTCTTATATAAGTTTTAAAATCTATTCAGAAGAGCTTTTTTTAAAACCCACATTGTGTGGCTTTGACTATAAGCTCTTCTGAAATGTCAAAGCTTCTGACAAATCATCCAAACACATACAAAAGAAGCTTTTGGACCAGGAAGCCAAAAACAACTTCTAGAAAGCTCTGCCAAACAAACCCTATGTATCAGTAGAGAAATGCTTATGCAATCATAAAATATTGTCGTAAGAAAGTAGATTAGAACAAGGAACATACAAGATTCTGATGTTTGGCATCTGAAAAAGCTCTGTAGGAAGATACCCTGATAAGTTGTTGTTGTCAAACAGGCTGCAAATATAGAAATGAAGCAGAAAAATATGGCAAATTAATGAAAGATCAATCTGCTCATTTGGTTCATAGATTTGAACAGAAAAGTTTGAACAAAATTTAAAATGAGAGAAAATACTATAGCGAAATGGTTTGAATAGTAGTTCGAACCTTTGAAACAAACGAGGTGAATGATTTTCAACAACATTCAAAGGAACAAAGGGAAATATTTATTGAACTTACAAATGCACAAGTTCAGGTAATTTATATAGCTCTGGTGGAATCTGACCACTGATTGAATTGTTGTTCATGTGACTGTCGTCAGAAAAAAAAAAAGTAAATTTGCATGCTTTTTAAACAAAAGAGAAGACCTAAAAGTTAATTAGTTGCATTAAAATGTAATTTGATTTTGAGTTTAGAAAGCCACTCACAAGTGCTTGACGTTGCGCAGATTTGCAAACGATTTAGGAATTGGTCCTGATATGCAATTTATGTCCAGTTGAAATTTAGTTATGTTCTGGAGATTACCAAGCTCATCTGGCAAAGAACCTGATATTTGATTTCCACTCAAAAGCCTGAAATAAGGGATACGATCATCAATGCAGGCTTGGATATTTCTAAACAAGCTTGAGAGTGATGAGCATCTTGCTCTGATATCATATCATGTTAGTTTAAAACAAACAAAAAAAATCTTCGAAAAGCTTAAGCTTATTGGAGGCAGACCTACATAAGATTCATAATGCTACCAACAATTATAAATTCTGATTTATCAAAATCTGGAGAGAATATATAAAAGGATAAGTACCATATATATAGAAATATATATATATATATATATTTTTTGGCGAACAATAATTTATACTTAATAACAGGATTATGCACACACTTATACGTGATAGAAAAGCAATTATGCGTTTCAGTGAAAGAAATTAATACGTATTTCAATTGTAAATCATTATATAGATGGCTAATATGCATATTTCTTAGTCAAAAGCAATGTATTGTTCAACTTACAAAAGACGCAAAGATGTCATATTTCCAATCTCCTTTGGTATGCTGCCACTGATGTTATTCCACATAAAATTCCTTTGAGAAAGAAGAAAATTAAGAAATATGAAAACCTTTCTCATTAGAAGAATTATGTCATCTAATTCAATACGTAGTTACTCACAATATAGTGATATGAGAGAATTGACCAAGTTCAGGGGCTAATTTTCCAGAGAGATTCATGTTTAGCAAACGTCTGCATAGAAACAGATGTCAGCACAAATATTTAAAGCGTCATTGATGTTCCACTTGAGAGAATGGGTTAAATCGATTTTTAGTCCCAAACTATAGCTAAAATTCCATTTTAGTCTCTGACTTAAAATATCTCATATTGAACCCTCGAGCTACTAAATTGTCCGAAACTAGTCCTTCCATCCATTTGGCTGTCAAAATCTCGATGGAAGAAGGCACAACTTCCTTCTTGATAGCTAGCATGTAAAATAGCAAATTAACCTTTACTAGCCACATATGGTCCTGTCATACTTTTTTCCGTAGAGATTTTAAGTCTGTTGGATGAAAGGACTTATTTAAGAAAATTTCGTAGATTGGAGATTCGTTGTAGAATGTTTTAAAAGTTACGGACTAAAACAAAATTTGTCCTATAGTTCAAGTCTAAAAATGAGATTGATCCAACTTTTATCCTCCTATTCTATTATCATCTTAAACAATGAATAACAATCATTTTTCTATTTCACGATGCAAACACGTTAGGAAAGATGGAAACTAAGGAACACCTTAACAAAAATTGTTAACAAAACAGAAACTTGTGCTTACTGTTGAAAATCAAAAACTGTCTCTGATATATATATATATATATATATATATATATACACACATTTTTTTGACAAAGAAACAAGGGAAACAAAAACTCTCTCTGATATATATATATATATATATATATATATATACACACATTTTTTTTTGTTTGATTAATCTTAGTGGTATCCCTAAATTTTGGGTCATTTTCAGTTTACCACCAAACTTTAAAAACTCTCACTTTGCTCCCTAAATAATATTTTTGAGTAGAGTGGCACATTTAATATTTTTTATCATCTTGAGTGGTATTTCTTTTTTTTTTTTTCCCCTTCTTTCTATTTGTTTTAAACAAAAGTTTAACAAAAAGACTTGGTGATCACAGTGCCTCCTTTTTACCACATGTTTTCAATATATAGAAATTCTGAAAAAGGTGAGTTAAGTGGGATTGTTAAAAAATCAAGGGATAAAGCGGAAGTTTTTACAAGGTCTAGGAATAAACTAGGAATGACCCGAAAGTTTCATGACTCACGGTTGAGAATAGTCTTTTTTTTTTTGTTAATAAAGAGGATAACAACAAAATGACTATGGAAACAAATATATATATATATATATATATATATAAGTTTTTAAGAGTACGTCTTCATCGGTAGTTAACGAGAGTAGATAACTGATATTAGATAGTGCGAACACATCGCAGTTAAGTTGACACATGCTACACATAACCTAAGCTTACAATTCTTGGATGTGGAGATAACCATCTTCTAAATCCGGGTTGAGGCTGCAGATTACCCCTGTCCAACTTGAATTACACGGATCCTTCTTTTTCCAGTTAAGCCTCTTGAACGGATCTTCGAGTTCACGCCAAACCGATTTCAAAGCTTTCACTGCGACCTCAGGACAGAAAAAATAAGAACATATTCAAGTGCCAAAAAAAAAAAAAGGTGCAAGACGTAAAACAAATGAAAAAATAAATAAATAAATAACCTTCCAATGGATGAGTAATTTGTGCAGTAACAAGTAGAGAAGAACAAAATAAAGACCAAACAAGAATAGCACTACATAGGCAAATTTGCGTCCTCGACATCTGAAATAGAAGGATATGAGTATTAAACTTGTACAAAAAGGAAATTAGAATAAGTGATAGAAAGAAGAGTGGAATATTTATCACCCTTTGTCTTTTGAAAATGAAAAGGAAAGAAGGAAGAGACAGAAGCAATAGTGGAAGTGGATCGTATTGCTTATATAAACTATAACGTTATAAAAACATGGGATTTTAGAGCCTTGTTTGGGCAAAGAAATTAAATGAAAGGAGTATTTGGTCAGGTTATTAGAGAAAGGAAAAATGTAAGCGTCACTTTTTTTGTCACTTTCTGCATTCACTGTTTGACACGTGAACTCTAACGTCTCATTTTTTGTTAAATAACAGTATATCATGTTAGTGTAGACTTAAGAGACAGGACTTGTTTTCTTTTGTTTCATTGAGTGACAACCTAAGGCCCAACCAACGGCTTTAACTAATATTTAAAAATTTGTTTAGTGGGAAAAAATAACTTTCCAAAGGTTGCTTGTAAGAATTACATATAGACATGAACAGAAAAACCTTTTCTCTTGTTATTATTAAACAATTATTATTTCACTCATAGATAACCATTTTTATAATTACATAACACCGTGGCTGAAATAAGTCATAACCAGACATATCATTAGATTTTCTAATAATCAACAAAAGTTATAAGATGTATTTAGAATGTCTTTTTAAAATTATGATACTAGTTTTAAAGTCTTCTCAAAAGAACTTTCTTAAAAAGTTATATTTTGAGTCTGTTATGGTTCGTTACATTTTGAGTCTGTTTGTTATTGTTATTTGAAAGATCCTTCTTTGAGAGTGTTTGTATAATTTTTCATTTTCCCTTTTCGAAAAAAGTTTTCACTCAAGACCAGAAAATGCTTCTGGAAAAAGCTCTTCTCATACTTCAAAACTTGTGTCAAAGTTGCAATAAAAATTTATATGCTACACCCTGACATTTTCTTTTTCTGCTTAATAGAATATTCGAACAACATTCTTAACCCATTAGGCACTTTAAAAATTGTGATTCTATTACAATATTTTCGTTTTTAGCTTAATAGAATATTGGAAGAATGTAGTAAGTAGCATATTTATAAAACTAAATTAAGCAAAAAGTATATTTTAAAACTATTTGAAGTAAATAGTAATTTACCACGTAAAATGCATGTTTTATTTACGACTAGTAAAAAGATTTTTTTCCACGTAAATAAAAATTTTTTATCATGTAAATTATTTTCTACCAGTAATAAATAAAACATTTACACAGTAAACTGCTATTTACTTCAAACTATAATTTTAAAATATGCTATTTACTTAATTTAATTTTAAAAATCTACTATTTATTACAATTTCCATGGAATATCTGAATATGATTTTACCCCATTAATCACTTTAAAAAATGTGATTCTAAATACTAACAGAAGAACAATAAGTTTCACTTCTATTGCCTAAAAGCAATGTCAAACAAATCCCTTTCCATAAGAACTCCATCATGATACTGAATCTCACGGATGCATTGATGGAGCCAATAAAGCGGGGGCCTTAATAATGTACATATAAGTGTATTTGCACTAAATTTATACACAGCTCCCCCATCAAAAAAAAAAAAAAAAAAAAAAACCTTGAATTTAGCTCGAAAAAATGAAAAGTGCAACTAATAACTTTATTTATGTTTTTCACTTATTTTCTTATTTCTTGATTTTTTTTTTTCTTTTAAAAAGGAAAGCGTATGTAGTAATTCTAAATAATGTCAAAATTATATACCACAACATATTTAGATGTAGCATTCTTGTACAATTGTGTTATGTTCTAGGGAGCAGTTCTTAGTATTGAAAAGTATTTTAGTGATATTCGCAAAGAGTTACTGAGACTAAACAAAAAAAAATGTAAATCCATTAATTTATCAATTATTGATGTTGGTATTGATTATAATTGAGTATTTTCTAGTATGGATTTTGTGAAAAATCAACTATACAACTGAATGAGAGATCATGAGAATTTTGTTGGATAAAACGAAAAAGACATGTTAAATGGCATCAATGGTAAAGTTAATCTACATGACTATTCTTAGGAAATCTAAGTATTTAATTATTATTAATTTTTCTAAAAATATCGCTGTGGTTATTAGCCCCCTCAACAAAAACTCGTGGGTTCCTCACTGTACGCAGGTCAAGTCTGGCAAGCAACAAATTAAAAATTAGTATTGTTTCGAAGCTAAAAACTGAAATACATTTAGTTTTCTTTTTCTATTTTTTTTTCCTATTTTTGTTTGTAGCATATATAATTTAGTTGAATTTTCTGAATGTAGCTTAAACTGAGGAATAGTTTATTCCTTTTTTATTTTTTATCTAAGCTCAAGAAGGACATGAAAAGTATATCTAGTTTTCTTGTTTTGACTATAGAATAGATATTATTGTGGGAAATAAGTTACACAACTTTGACTTATAACATTTCATTAAATTTAACTCATCTCCAGCGGCTTTAGGATCACAATGTAGACAATCATTGAAACAACCTAAAAGACCAATACATAATACTACAGGTGGCAATTCATATCGGTAGATCATGTTAGTGTCGAGTTGAGAGTTAATATTTATACAAATTACTCTAACCTTAACACGACTAGCGGTATGAATGGATTGAAAAATCTCATCCTAACACAACTTGCCCTAACACGAGCTGACACAAACACGACCTGTACGAATCCATTACCTGAGACCTACGATCCACAACAATGCACTCAATCCGAAATCAACTTGCAACCCACTAATGACCCATGACCTTTTTTTTTTTTTTTACTTTAAATCTACCATTTACGCACTAAAAATAACATAAAACACATATTCCTCAAAATCAAATCAATTCCATTCTACAACTAATTAAATCCTAAAAATCTAAAACACATCCAACCAAAAATAGGGAAAAATATATTAAAAACAATAGTGATTAAGCAAGTCAATTTAGTATCACACGGGTTAACATGAATACGACCTACTTTTTGATAGGTCAATTCGAGTTGACAATAAAATAATCCTTGGCTTCTTTTTTCAACACTAACCGGTAAAAAATCGTGTTAAGTTCATATATATATATATTTATCGCACGCCTCAATTTACTGGGTCAAACCACTACAAGTAACAATTCAACTTGACCTTATGTAAATCTTGTGAAAGGTAGTGATAGGGGCAATTGTTAAAAGAACCAATCGTCACTTTCATACTACGCAGACTTTTGTGGATCATTTATCCAACTCATGGCTCATGCCACAAATTTCACGTGCATACGAATTACGAGGTGGACACAAACTATATATTAAGTCAAGACGAAAACCGCACCATCATTACATCCATATTATTATACGAGTGGGTTATCTACTTGAATCAATCAAAAACCATAACTTTCATTAATAGACAATAATCTTTATTCCCCCCGAGATCTATTTATCCAGCACTTGGAGAAGAATTCTTTTCTAGCGTGGGATCTCAATACAAATACCTTAGACAATGACGCGCAAATGACCCTTTCAATAAGCTAAGTCGTAATATATATATATATATATATATTTGCAGATGACAAGATAAAGATTATTTGTCCAATGCATAAGCATATGGCAGACTAAGTCATGCCTTGCTAAATAGAATGGATGATAACTCTACCTAACAGAGACATGAAAGCCAGAACACTCGTCACTCCATGTTAGAATATAATATAACTCATTCAAAGAGGGAAAAAGGACAAACTCTTGTATTCACACTTGAAAGTCGACAAATATTCATAACTAATATTATGTTTGTTTCCTGTATTCGTCTCTGATTTTGAATCATGATTCATAGTTCTCTACAGTGATTTTCTCATTTAAAAAACACACGTAAAACAAGAATGATTCTGAATACATTAACCAAACGTCCACTAATGTTTTGCTTGCATATCTAAATCGGATGGAGTCCATGAAATGGATAACTCTTTCAGTAAATAGGAACCACCCTGACACTGTATAACAATAGATTTGTCTTACAATGAGTAGACACAAATAAGTGTAAAAAATGTGAGGTTTGTAATCAAGATTTCCAGTCCCATTTTTCTAGCTCCTTAACCATCCCACCAATTAAATTTTGACACCTCTGAATTACTTAAGTATTTTTAGTATTTAGTTTCTATTCATGTAGTGCAATTATTAAATTTAAATGGTATGGCAAATAAGTAGTAGAGGACAGCCAATGAGACAAGAAAATGAGGACAACAAATCTAGACTCGGGGGCTGCACGATAGAAAATGATATTAAAAAAAAAAATGTAAGAAAGTGTTAAATAATGGGTCCATCTGAATTTACTCCTTAAGCTATGCTTCTGAATAATATCTAAGAGGTTGACAAAGTCTAAGATAACAAGTCTTGTCAAGCAAGATAACATGACTTACAATCATAATTTTTTGCAATTCAATACATCTACATCGCATAAAAACTTGTAAAACTTTGATTGCATGTAGAAAATACAAATGGCATAATTGTCAGATTTACAATCCACGAGGCAATTACAATTGTTGAAGTCTCTGAACTAGCTGGACAAACTACTGCTAAAATAAACTCTTACCTTGTTGAAGCCAATCTTTCATCATCTGTACTTTTTTTTTTTAATATACTTCTTGTATCAGTGTGAGATTCCCAGAGAGATGATGTTGAAGCCAAACTTAATATTTTGGGTACCAAAACATACCCTTAATTCCCTCTGGATCAGGTTCAAAACCCAAATTTCGATAGAACTCCACAACTGCAATAGGGGTGTAACTGAACAAGTTAATTACAACCTTCAATTATTCAAAAATGGAACCACAAGGAATAAAGCAAACAATACAAAAAAACAACACAGATGAAAGTTCATATGCGTAAATAGGACTAGTTTTTATGATTTTAGTTTCCCACACTACTATAGAAATGAATAAAACCCCTGATGAGCAAATTGGACAAATCACAGAAATGTTCATCGCGGAAAGGGAAGGCTTCATAAAGGATCATCGATCTAGATAATTCAAGTCTTACAACAGTGTTTTGAACCCCATTTTTAGCCTCCGTTTGGTAGGAGGGATGGAAAGAGTTGGAGGGATGAAGAATGTGAAGGATAGAGAGGATTATAATAATTCTTTATGTTGTTTGGTAGGAGGGAGGGAGAGTTAAGAGGATAGGTGATAGTTATTTATTTAATTACTATATTGTCTATTTTGCTATTTGTTAATAATTTCTTTTGAAGGGTAAAAAAGTCATTTTCTTTTAATTTATAGTGGATTTGTTGGATCCTTCCATCAATTGAAGGATTCAAAATAGTAGGCCTGAAGAGAGACTCTCTCCTTCCATATCTTCTCTCCCTCCTCTTCTCCTTCTAACCAAACAAATAATTTACCCTCTCCCTCCACCTCTCTTCTACCCTCCATCTCTCCATCCCTCCTACCAAACATACCCTTATATACATATGCTTTATCATATACCTTGACTATCCGCAAAGAGGGTAATATTGCCAATGTCCCTTTGCAGAAGAGCCCTAATAAGCTTCTCAACAAGAGCCTTACCGAGGCCCTGACCCTGAATGATACAGTCAGAATACTATAATCAGATTGCATATTATAAAAAATAATTAGCAGAACCAATCAACAAGAAGGTCCAATAAACATCTTTCAACCAACCCACCATGGTGCCATTATTTAATCAGGGTAAAAACAGATATTGCAAACCATCAGGGACGGATTCAGTATAGGGCCACTGGGGGCACGTGCCCCTACTGGCAAAACAAAGTAACATTATATATATAGTGATTTTTAAATATTTTTTGCGTGTGCCCCCAGTGTTTTGATAACTCCAGCAATTTTTTGGGCCTTTTTAAGTATAGTTATTTTGGGCTTGAAGATTTGATGGATAGGGCTTTTACTTTTACATCACCCTTTTGTCCATATTTGCTATCAGCAACCTTAGGCCCCTTAATTATGCACGCTGAGTTGCTGACCAAACAGAAGCTTTTGGAATGTAATTTATGTTTTCTTCTCTCTCTTGCTTTTCTCTCACCCGGTCTCTATCTATCTGTCTCTTTTCATTTCTTTCCCCCTACACAATTCCCCCGATTCTTCCGATTTCTAAAACCACAGTATACATCATCAATTTTCCTCTTCTTTTTTTTTTTTTTCTTTTGCTTTCCATCCAAAAATTAGACAACAATCCATATATGAGTTATGTAATAATTTAAATTAGATTTATTTACTAATAGTGTTAATCTTGTATTTTTTTAGTATTATAATGATGAAACAATTTGTTAACTTTTTTTTCTTTCTAATGATGTTACTTTTTGTAGTGACAATTATAATAACTGTAGGTTTTGAGGAAAAAACATATTCTCTCTTATTTCAATCATGGTAGCATACATTATTTATAGGATACATTGTACCCTTGACAGCTCACAAACATCTAACAAAACCAGAAACTATCTAAATCCAAAAACTAACTAAAGAGAATCCAGAAACTACCCTATTTCCTAGGAACCTTACCCCAAACTAAAGGATTCGGCCTTTTATTCAAAAACAGAAAAAGTAAATTAGAAAACAGGAAAGTAAACAATTTTATTCTCTATTAGGAAACAAACGATGACTTGAACAGTCTCATTGTGAGGATATATGTTGTTTGTTGTGTCGTTGGAACAAATGGCATACAGATCATTCCTCCCTCAACCTTCTCCTTGATGAAATGTCGATCAACTTCAACATGTTTAGTTCGATCGAGTTGCACAGGTTTGTTGGCTATGCTGATTGCAGCTTTGTTGTCACAGTATAACTTCATAAAGGCTTCTATAGGCAACTTTAACTCAGTCAATATCCGTTGTAACCATAATAGTTCACAATAGTGGTGGAACTTCGGGCCGGCAGGCTGCCCGAAGCCCGAATTTTTTCGGGCTCGGGCGAGCAGGCCCCTATGCCGGCCCATCCAAGGTGGAAATTCGGGCTCGGGCTCGGGTAGCCCGAATTTTGAGACCACGCCAGAGGCCGCCGCCGTGTAGGTGCCGTCGACCGCCGTCCGCCGGAGTTTTTTTTTAATTTTTCCAGCCATACCCGACTGCCCGAACCGCCCGAAGCCCGAACTGCCCAAAAAAATGTTCAAAAATCCGACCGTTGTGCCCGACCCGAAAACCCGAATTTTGCCCGAAATGCCCGATTTGCCCGAAAACCCGTCCAACGGCTACTTTTTTGCCCGTTGCCGCCTGAATACGCCCGAAACCCACCCGAACCCGACCCGCCGAACCTAAGTAGCCGTTGCACATTGATTTTTTTGAAAAAAAAAATTAATTTTTTAACCCAAAAATTTCCCTCTAAATACCCCCCATCCTCCACACATTTTTTTCACTCAAACTCTCTCAATTCCTCTCAATTCCTCTCAATTTCTCTCAATCTCTCCCGATCTCTCAAATCTTTTTCAAAATTTGTCCAAAAAGTATCACATTATCCTAAAACTCTCTCTCAAATCGCTCTTATTTTTTATAATGGATCCTTTTGGTTATAGTGGTATTCCCGTTGATGCCCAACATAACATGGAAAGTGGGCGTAGAGAAGCGGCGAGTGCTAGTGCGACTGCGTCTGCAAGTGTTGCAACCTCTAGGAGAAAATGCAAGCGCACCTCGACAGTTTGGGATCACTTCGACATAATTGATGAGATCGACAATGAAGGTAACACTAAACATATAGCTCAGTGTAAATATTGTTTATCTGAATTAACAGGTGACACTATTCACGGCACCACACACTTGAGAAGACACTCTGAAAAGTGTCTTCAAAAGTTTAGCCAATCCGGTGGATCCGAACTCCGCTAAATACAATTATCTTTTGATCGCGCAACCGGTGGTCTAACCACTTGGAAATACGATCCGCAAGTAGATCGTATAGAAGTTGCACGAATGATAGCTGCTTTAGATCAACCTCTTATTGTTGTAGAGCATCCTAATTGGCAACGATATATTAAGGTTGTACATAATCCTAATGCACAATTCAATTCAAAAACTACTCTTAGGAAAGATTTATTAAAATTATTTAAAAAAGAAAAAGAAGCATTAATAAATCTTTTACACTCGACTAGCGGGTGCATTGCGTTAACGGCAGATATTTGGTCTGCCGTTGCCAATAAAGATTATTTAGCTATAACCGGTCATTACTTTAAATGATTTAATTTAGATAAAAGAATATTAAGTTTTAAATGTGTTCTAGGATCACATAGCGCGGATTTAATATATAATACAATTTTAAATGTAATTGATGAATTTAGACTAAGAGATAAAGTAATGACTATAACATTAAATAATGCTAGTGTCAATACAAAAGCAATTGAATTCTTTGAAAATAATTTAAATTTATTCGGTGACGGTACAATTTTCCACCAACGTTGTGCATGTCACGTAATCAATTTAATAGTTAAATCCGGTTTAAAAGAAATGGGTAATCACATTAAAAAAATTAGAGATAGTCTTGCATGGATTCAATATAGTAACCAAAGACAAGAAGATTGGTTTAGGTTCTTACAAGCATTAAATATACCTCCTAGAGCATTAACGTTAAATATGCCTATAAGATGGAACTCAACTTACATTATGCTTCAACAATGCATCCCCTATAAGGATGTCATAACAAACTATATATGTGCAAAATTAAAAGTATGACATATAGACGAATTTGATTGGCAAATTGCCGAAGTTTTGTATCAATTTTTAGGTAGGTTTCATGAAGTTACTCTAAAACTTAGTGGAACATACTACCCAACATCACCTTTAGCTTTAGGTGAACTTTTAAGAATTAGTATTTTATTTAGCGAATATAGGAATGACTCAATCCTAAGAGTTCCTATTCATTCTATGGAAAAAAATTAAAAAAATATTGGTCTAAGTTGCCTTTGTTGTATAGTTTAGGTACTATTTTTTATCCTAGATTAAAATTAGAAGGTTTAGAAAGTGGTTTAAAAAACTTAAGTGAATTTTTAGGCATCAATTGTTTGGACCAATATCCAATAATAAAAGAAAAAATATATTCAATCTATAGTAAATATGAGATTAAGTTTAGAATACCTCTTAGAGTACAAGAACCGCAACAACAAGACGAAAACCCGCATTCATTCTTGAATGTTTTCGGGTTGAAGAAGAAGAAGAAGAAGAAGAAGACAACTCAAACGGAAGCTGTGAGTGAATCTTCATCAACAAGTGGCAATGGCAGCGGCGGCGGCAGCATCAACAAGCTTATGGCGTACCTCAGTAAAGGCTTAGTAGTCGACGGTACGTCAGAATCGTTTGACTTAGTTCAATGGTAGAGGGCACGGACATTAACTTGGCCAATCCTAACTCGATTAGCAATGGATATATTTTCGATCGCAGTCTCCACTATTTCATCCAAATAAGCCTTCAGTACGCCAGGAATAATACTTGAGGAACGCCGGAATGCATTGCAAAGGGATATTGTTGAAGCCTTCGTTTGCATTAAGGATTGGGATCGGGCCGATCAACGTCTACAGGATACAATTTCGCCGGCAAGCCAAGAATGGATCGATGAATTTAATCGATTAACATTTAATTTTGAAAACAACCCTCCAGCTTCAAATTAAATTGTAAATTTGTAATTTGTAAATATGTATTTACTTTTGACATTGTATTTGTAATTGTATAACTTTGTAAGTTTGTAAAATTTGTAATTCGTCACAAAATGATTGCACTCTTTTTTTCTTGTTAAGTTTTTATCCCAATTGGGTTTTTCTTGGTAAGATTTTTAACGAGATAATCATGAATTACAAACTTAAAAATTAATAAAGAAATAATTTTTTTATATAATTCGTGTTTATTTCAAATTGTAATATATATATACATATATATATATAAATTTTAACATAAAATAACTTAATATTAAACAAAAATTTAAAAATTTGGGCTTTTCGGGCGGGCTCGGGCCGCCTAATACAAGCCCGCGACCCGTTCAAGGTGAAATTCGGGCTCGGCCGGGCGGCCCGAATTTCTCGGGCGGGTCGGGTTCGGGCTCAGGTAAAAATTCGGGCTTTTCGGGCGGTCGTGGGCGGCCCGTCCAAAATTCCAGCACTAGTTCACAAACTCCGTTGGCCATTGCTCTATATTCTGCGTCAGCACTGTTTTTCGCTACTACACTTTGCTTATTACTTCTCCAAGTAACTAAATTACCCCACACATAGGAATAATATCCTGTTGTTGATCTCCAATCAGTGGAAGATCCTGCCCAATCCGCATCGGCGTAGATTTCAATCCCATGTTGAGTGTTCTTTTTGAAAAAAAGGGTCGGATTGATACAGCTGTTGTCAGATTTGGCAATAGCTGTCATAGTGAATAGTTGACAATTGAAATGTATATATTTAGGAGAATTAGGATTCGTTCCTTAGATAGGATATTTCCCTAGAATAGATATCAATCAATATATGTAATTAGGCAGAGTTTCCTTTTTTGTTTATCAAATCAGCCTATATATGAATGTAACCACTGATTGGAATAATATACAGAAAACCATTTCTCTCTTTTTATGCGTTATGGTATCAAAGCCCTAGGG